TTCGCCTGTATATACGAAAATCAATAGATAGGAAGAAAAAAATACTGTCAAATAATTATAGGTCCCCTTTTATTTTTTTCATTCTTTTTTTTGAATTTATTTCATTGGAACGTTTTCTGTATAAAAAAACTTAATAACTATAAGCGACAAGCAAAATCTTTGCGATTGATTAGCTGTCGAGTATTGTATCGTTCGAAATTTCTGCCCATACTCTTTGTAATGCATTTTTTAGTTCATCTGTCCCTAGTGAATCCCTAGGGGGGGGAATCCCTACACAGAGACTCGCTGAAGAGTTTTTTTCATGATTTTCTCCCATAAAAAGCATAAAATGTTTTAAATATACACTAAAATATATCTGATAAGATACAGCTACGTAATTGATTCTAGAAACGCTTGACTGATACAGAGAGAAAAGAGGATCCTTATTTTGAAAGGCGAAGTATGTATTAGAGATGGGCATGGTTCGACTTTTTCGAAATTCAAACCGAACCGAAAAAAAGATTTTTTAAAAATTCATTAGAAATTACCGACTATCTCAATTTTTATGTCCACTTGTCCGTATAATTTCAAACGATTACCATTTAAACCTTGCTCCTCTAATAAAACATTCGGTATCAGAAGGCTGCTTCATAATAGAAGGCTCTCAAAGGGAATGATGCCTTAGATAAACTAGAAAATCTTCTCTTAATTATTTAATTAATTAAGATATTCTAACTTTAATTGATACTAAACAAATATGCATAGTTTCTAGAAATCTCAGCTAAAATTTGGCTAAGACTGAACTTAGAACAAGTGGAAACAGCTGGTTTTTCTAAAATTTTTTTTTTATCAATTCTTAAGTGTTTTTTTTAATCATTGAAGTCTGTAGGTAAGAATCTGTTTATTGAAGAAAATAATTCGTGCATTTAGAGGATAGGTCAGTCCATCATAATGATTACAAAAAAGCGATGTTTTTGATTTTTCTCAAATTTTTGATTGCATTGATTTTTTTTTTGATTAAAATACTTTTTCTACAAGTTAACAAGAAATCTAAAACTTTAAGTATTTCTCCTCGATTCTTTTATCAAAACAACTCATTTCAGCTGTCTTTCCACTTGATCTAAAATGATTTGTGTATATTTTAACCCACGAAAATCATTCAAATTCTTGAAACTGTCGTTATTTCTTAGAAATCATCTTAATTACTAATTGAGCACTACATGAATATTGTCCTCCTTACAGGATGTTTTTGACTTGTTTACTTTTGGTGTTTCTTCGTCTAGGAAAGAGAAGAAAATATACAAATATTTCATCGTTAATGATCATGCACAGTTTCTATTCACTTTTCTTGTTGTACAATGTACATATCAAAATGATGATCGAAACTCACCGATCTGGCTAAGAACCAAACCGTGCCCATCTCTAGTGTACATTCCATAGTCTTTATACTATATACACGTACACATGTACAAAGCTTCGATCGCCGCTCAAAGTTATACAAAAGGAAACGTGCATGAGGCTAATAAAATCAGATGAGTTTTTATTATGTACAAAAAGAAGCGTTCAATAAATTAGTTTAGGGACACTACATGCAGTAACGGAATAGCCGGTTTAACATATAGAAAACGTGGAAAAAATAAAATCTTGGCGACTACTCATTACATGTTACAGTCCTGTGATATTTTTAGAACGAAATGCTGATTTAGTCGAATGAATCGATTGAATACTTCATCGTCAAAAACGAGATCGCTGAAAACTGAGACCATTGAAACTCGCACAGAAACCAACCATCAAATTTCACCGATCTCTATTTTGGCAATGTGATTTTCTCGAAGAGCATACTGATCGAATGAATCTTCCTTCGCAGTAGTAAATCTGATGGCCGACCATGTCTTCAATATTGTATTTATTCTTCTAATTGAAACTAAATATAGAAAACCTCGAATACAGTTGTGTAGAGCAAGTCAAGCTCTATCGATTGGTATATGATTCAATTTGAAAAGTGAAAAATTTCAAAGGAAAAATCCACAAAAAAAGAGATGAATTTTCGACACTTTTTAGGGGCATTTTTAAGAGTGTCTCAGGTCGGTCTATTCTAGCCAACTAGAAGTAAATCTTTAAACCGTAATATTTTGGATTCTTCTATGGCACATAAGGTCTAACTTCCTAGGGGTTCAAATTGGAGACTGATTGACCTCCATGTTATCGCTGTCTCTGATTTTTTCACGGGACGTCTCTTAAGTGTACTATCAGACAGTTGTATTATCTTAGAATATATGTTAGAATAAAAAATTTTGCTTTTATTGGAAATGAAGAATGTAACTGTTGAATTTCGACGAAGATTATAACGCCCAACTAATAGACTTACTAACAAATGAGCATATCGATTATTGAACAAAGGCAATTGTACAAAATAATACGAAGATTGTCGTTTGCATTACTGTAAATGACAAACAATTTGGAGAAAGAAAAAAAGAAAAATGCCTAGAAAATCTATATATATTTCAATTAATATAGAAGGTCGTTTTCAAGCTGTTACAGTCAACATAATAATAATCACTTGTTATGTGATAATTAATGTGTCACAGCTGCATTTAATTGCTATAATAGAAAGAAAAATGTTCTTTTTTTATCGACATCAAATCTTTTTTTATCTACATTTATTTCAATGTTCGATTATTGTGTTTGAAATTTTCCTGTTATTTGTAAAAACATGTTTCCTTTGTGAGATACACCGTGGTGTCACACCGCCATGCCTCGCCTCGCCGCGGTGCTAAAATTTTAAACGGCGAGGTGATGCCATTGCATCGCGAGGGATACATCAGCTATTGGTTACACCATCAATTGCTGGTTTTTTTCCATTTTTTTAAAATTTACTAATAAGATTCCTTAAATCCGATTCAACTTTAGTCAAAATACGAACAGTCATTTGTATACAAAAACTGTTTGCCAAAAAGTCGCAGTTAAATGATGATTTATATGATTCGTAAGAAATATAATTCAAATCTCTTTTTGTAAACCAATAAATATCCTTGACATTTTCGAATCTCGAACAGAAATCTTCCATTCAGATATTTTTTCGATCATACAATCAACTTTTTCTTTTTTGTTGTATTTTTCACGTTTGTTCTACGATTAACTGCATAGATATTTTACTACCAACTATAACAGATGATCTTAAATGATGATCATTTGAAGAAATAGACTCTTATTTCAAGGAATCAAACACAAAATGTGTTACATCTTTTTCATGAATAGCATTGAGAGTGCTAAGCAGAGACTGTCACAGAGTACTTTTTTTTTCTTTCCTGCCCTCAAGGCAAGGCGCCTCGAAGAAGTTGCCAATTTATTCTGTATTTGTCAACAAAATTGATAAATAGCGAAAAACTTCAAATGTTTGCTTATGTTATGTTCAGTAGCTATATTTTATTAACATCATTTTAAAAGAATGTTACAACATCTTAGTTCAATATTCGAATAAAAAGATAGACGATACATTTTCAGAAGAACTTATTTAAATCTAGAAAAATAATAGAAGTAAAACAATGAATAGATAAAGTATTTCGTCTGTATAATAGCATTGATCATCCAAGTCAGATTATCCGACTATTTTGTTTTTGGTTTTTTTCTTTTTGTTTCTATTCATAGAAGGCAAATCATAACTAATAGCAAGATTGTCTCTAGATAAAGGATGATCTATAAATCTTGGGCTCTCTCAGAAAAATTGCTCGTTGTTGCTTATAACAAATTCAGAAACATCCAAACTTTGAGATCTAATCCTTTATGACAAGGTAGATACAAAGGTTAACATTTTTGAAAATTTTTTTCCATGATCCAAAACCAACAAACATCAAGGATATGCATGAAAATATGGAGAAAAAATATACAAAGAATAGGATTCCAATAAATACAGTGACGCTCAAACTTGATCTTACATTTAGTTTTTCTTGAAAAAGAGTGTGGGTATCTCTTTTAGAAGACGCGCACCCACACCCTAAGAAGGTTGCAAAAAACTGTTACATTTTAGGTTGCAAGAGAAAGATTAATATCAGATCTAGTGTGAAAAGAATTGTGCTTCTCTCAAGGTTGGCTGCCTCAAAACTCCTTTGCATCCCCGAATCCAGGGACCTTCGCGTGAGGTCTAAGTGTAGCTATCAAAACTACCATAGCTATAAGAAGGATTGTATCCATTCTATCCACTAGAGCCATTATATGGACTATAGCCAAAATAGGGATTATAAGCACTGTATGACCACGTATATGACATAGGGTGTGGGTGTGGGGTGGGGTATGGGTGGGTGGGTGGGTGTGGGGTGGGGGGAGGGTGGGGGGGCGGGGGTAGGGGGAGGGGGGGGGGTGGGGGGGGGGGGGAAGGACGGGTGGGTTGGGCGGGGGCGAGGGCGGGGTG